TTTTTTAATTTTTTATAACAATAAATTTTAATTATGGAGTTTTGTAAGAATAAAATAAGTGATAATTTGAATAGAATCTTTAACTATATATTAATTACCACCAATCATATTAATATTTCATTTAGGTCCTGTGAATAAATTTTTTGTATTTCATGAACAAAGTGAAATTAAAATTAATCAATATACTCAAAAATTCAACAACGTTAAATTATATAGTATACAAGTAAATTATATTATTTTTAATAGTTTTGTGTAATTTGTTGTATCTATGTGAAATACTGGAAGTTTCTAATTTTGATACAGTTGGATAGAGCATTGACTACTCTAACGAATCATATAGTTTACATTTTGTGCCAGTCGGTTTTAATCCAAAAAAATTATAAATCTCAGAAAACAACTAAAAAGTCTTTTTAAGATAGTATACTGAACGATTAATTAAAAACAAACTAAATTAGAAGATGCAACACGAATACCTGCACAACTTACACATTAAAGCTTTTTATAATTGCGGAAAAAAAGTAAACAAGTGCTCTGAAACCAATTTTCTTGCAGTCGAAATTTAGCTTCTCAAAATGTTATCAACTTTCAGAACAGAAACTAAAAGTAGAAAACAAACGAGTTTATGTAAATTGTATAGCTTCTCACGATACATCTTTTGATATATTTTATTTTAAATAAATATACTAATACAAAAATAAGAATGTCTCGTCTCTCATCTGATAGTTACTGTCGAAAAAATTCTGTAGCTGTTTTCGGAGATTAAAAATTTTTGCGGACTAATAGCGAAGGACATAAAATATAAACCATATGATTCGAGAGAGTAATCAATGCTCTATCCAACTCTATCAAAACAAGAGACTTCTAGTGTTCAACAAATATGAACATTTTATATTCTAGTATCGTTCAATGGTCGGATTTGACGCGAAAAATAAAGAAACAATCAATCCATTATATCTATGTCGATCATGCAATCTCATTTTAAGAGAACCATTTCAACTTTTATGTGGTCATCGGCAATGCAAAACATGTATTGAGGCTACTGAAGGGTATGAACACATAAACTATGATTTAAACTTGAAAACTATTTTTCTTTTCAACTAGGGATGTGGTGAAATGTGCTGAATGCTCAGAAGAATCACCAAAAAGCGAAGTTAGTATTAAAAACTTCTTTATACTAAAGAATAACATTATTTTGTATTTTTAAAGATAATGCCGGATCGTGGATTTAGAAATGATATGAAACTTTTACAAATTGCTTGTTCGTTATGTGATTGGAATAGTTTATTCAAAGATTATGAGGTAAAATATCATATATGATTAAGTTATAATTCACATATATGTTTAGGAACATTTGATAAAAACACATCCAAATCCAGTGTGTGAGTTTTGTCAAGAGAAATTCAATTCTACAACTAGACTTGACGAACATAAACAAAAAGAGTGTACGAAAATTACTGTGTCTTGTCCTCTCAAAGAATATGGTTGTGCGGAATCTGTAAGTAACAACTATTTATATTTAAAATATTCGAAGATAATCCAACAAAATATTTTCTCATACGATTTATTTAGATCCTTCGAGTTCAACTAACAGACCATTATTTAACTGATCAACATCAAACTGCGATAGTCAATGTTGTGAAACGTTCAGGTTTTAAAACAGCAAGTGATCAACATGAACGAATGTCAACCATGGATGTTGATATGGGACAAGGAGCATCTAGTTCAATGATGACAACAACAAATGAAACTATGAATAGTCAGATGCAAGAGATTTATGAAGCGATCAATATTCTTGCTAGTGGAATTCAAACACTAAATGATGATACACAACGTCTTAGCACTGATTCAGTTAGATTACAAAGTTCAGTTGAATTATTAACACAAGATTTTGCAACACTAAAATTAAGCGTTGAAGAACAAGGCGCTTTTCTAGATGGTATCAAACCAAATCAAGAAATTCTTCAACAAGAAGTTGCATCATTAAAACAGAAAATTGATGATATGCAATATGTCTCTTATGATGGAACATTAATATGGAAAATAACAAGTTTTAATGAGAAAATGAGTAAGTGCAATTTGTATATACATATCTTAAGGACAAACAATATTGAGATTGATGATAGAGTTATTCGCTAGTAATTAGACATCATCCATTAAAATAATAAAATCATTTTTAACAAATTTACAAGCCTTCGTTTAAACATCTTTCTAATGTTGTTTAGATCAGAAATCAAATTTTTTTTTTCAAAGACTTTTGTTGTAAATATAATTATATTTATTTTAGTGGATGCTCAATCCGAACGACAGACATCAATATATTCACCACCATTTTATTCCTCACCTACTGGATATAAGATGCGAGCTCGGTTATATCTTCATGGGGATGGTAATGCTCGACGAACGCACATGTCACTCTTTTTTGTTCTTATGCGTGGCCCAAATGATGCCATATTGAAGTTTCCTTTTAACTATAAAGTTACATTCTGTCTCTATGATCAAACACCACAACAAAGGCATATAATTGATTCTTTTCGACCAGATATCAAATCTAACAGTTTTCAACGACCGAGGTCAGAGATGAATATCGCAAGTGGTATTCCTAAGTTTTTTCCACTGGCAATGATACAACAAGAAGGTAATCCATATGTTAAAGAAGATACAATGTTTATCAAAATTATGGTTGACTTTGGTGATATGCCAAAAACGTTATTACCATATGCATTAAGTTTAAATCCTGGACTACCAATGCATATTCAACAAACATTGGTTAAACAAGAAGCAGAAAGACGAACACAACAACAACAACAGGCTCAACAAGCACCAACATCTCCAGTAAATCGTCCAGGTGCGACGGGTTTGCCGCAAAATACTGAAACACAATTACCACAAATATTTGCTACAACATCACCATCGAATATATCAAATGATAACTCAAATAACAGCAATGATGGTTCGCAGTTGGGGTAGCATAGTGCTTAGAAAAAATAGTTATATAGTCTTTTTTCAGGGAAACCGACTATTCACCAATTGTTGGCACTTAGTTTTTGCAGACAACTTTTTTTGGAAGGCGTTTCGAAATAGACTAGAATTTTTGAATAAACTACCTACATTTCAATTCACGTCTTTTGAATCTAAAATCTTTCAGATTCGCTCGAAAAATTTCCTTGAATGTTCGTGCATGATATTTCACTATATGATCTTGCCTATAGTAGTGGATGTTTTATATAGAATGACTTTATTAGTATTTCATAAATATTGTATCGCAAGTTCTGAAGCCCGATTTGAACATATTTTGCAGAAAGTATCTCTCAAAATTCTATAGGAGATCAAATATATGACTTCCAAAAAAAGTTTTTGGAAAATCAATCTGAATAGTAATGATATGTTTTAGCGAGATCCTCTTACAAAAGCTTTTTCTTTCATTAGATACGTGCTAAGTTGTCCTATAATTTCAGTTATATTAAGTGGTAGCAATTATTTGATTAAAAAGATTTTTTTTTATATCGATTCGTTGAAGTGTGAGTCATGTAAATCTATACCAACGCACACACTCACACACTCAAAAAACGAAGTACCTGGCTACATAAATATATAGTTTCCTCTACTGAAAGGAGGGTATTACGCAGAGTGAGTTAAGTACGTTCGTTCACTCTGATTGGTTAATTAAATCCTCTAAAACTTTCTTGCTATAAGGGTTGATCGGAGGGTAATTTGAGCCGAGGAACACGACTCTCAGATTAGTTCCGTCTACTCGAAGGAGGGTATATACTTAATTAATTAACTATGTTGATGCGAGACGAATATGCTCTATCCGTAGCTATTCACAAAACAGTACTTCCTCGTTTTAGTTTCGTTTTAGGATTCGTATTACCAGAAACTCATCGCGTTTTGTACTGAGAACGAAAGGAAACCAATTTATTCCCTTCTAAAGTGAAGGTTATAGTGTAGACGTGTATTTAGGAGGCTTGATGTCAGTAAAATGAATCACAGTATAAGATGTTTTGATAAGTGATTCGATTAATGAACTAAAACAAGTCTTTATCTTATCTTAAGTATGGTGATCGATCCGATCAAATTCTTTCAGTAGAGGGTTAGCGGCAATTACGCCGCGTTACTTATTAGAAAATTGATGCAAAGTGTAAATAGTAGTTTCATCATTATTTTTTTTCGGTGTATTTTACAATTGACTAAATATTGTGATCTAGACATTTGTTATAGAAGATCTTGATTTATGAAATTTTCTAGAAAAGTTATTAATCTTTTTTTTGTTCGAAAATTAAGAGGTTAGATCAAAGTTTCAGAAAATCGAGAAAAATATTTATGAAATAACAATAGAATTACTTTATGTAAAACATCCACGTGATTTAGTTCGTTCCCAGAAAACATTATTGTCCAATACGTATTGGGCAATACTATTTTCTGGGTTCAAATTAAGTTAGACTATATGCAAGATCTTACATGTGAAATCTACATTTTGCAATCTGAATATTTTAGATTCAAATGACGATGACATATTATGAAAGAACATATCTCCCTATCCGATATCATTTGATTCAATATTTTAGACATGATTAAGATATAGTTAGACTTGAAAAGTTTTGGATAAATTCATATCTCTGATCTGTGATTCACTATCTATACAAGTTTTATTGAATTTTCAAAATACGTGTAGGTTTTCGCTGAACAATCAGATTATTGACCCTTGATCTCATACTTTAATTATCCTTTGAATATTGTCAAAGTTCTGTTCAAAACGAGTGTTTATGTAAACACGAATTCTTACGAGAAATCTATGAAATAATTGACTAGTTTTTGACAATTCGATATTTTGATTGAAAATTCTAAGATATTCTGAACAATATTAGATATATCATTACATGAAATTTTACATTATGAATGAGTAACATGATTTTTCGTTGAATATCTGCTGACATAGTAAAAACATTTGGTAAAATAATCATAGATGATCGGTAGGAGACGGTGAATATGAGTTTATATTATATTTTCTAGTCTAATTAGATCTTATTTATGACCAAAATATAGAACCAAATAGTCTTGAATAGATCGATATGTTCTTTTGTAAATTTCCCTCACTAATATATCATTCTTAATATGAATTTATCCTCCCGAAATTTTGATACTCTTCTTAAAAGTTTTTTTTTGTAACTGCACTTAAATAATATAATATCTATTTCTTCTTTCTGAAAAAAGACTAGCATAACTATGAAGTACATATTGTGTACTATATTTTGTGTATTACTTTCAGTAGATACCAAGAATATTCCTATTGTTCCTAGTGTCGTTTTATGCTTCATACTCTTTAATTAAGATTTTTTTTATGTTATTTGTTTTCATATGTATTCGAAATAAAAGTGTAATCAGAATGAAATAAAATATGTTTTATCTTGTAAAACTAAAAAGATGTATTCGATGATATCAAGCAATATTTGAAAAGAATGAAATAATTATTAAGTTTTTTTAAATAAAATTATCTGTAAAACTAATTCAAGATGTGATATAAAATAAATCAATGATAGAATTTTTTCAAATAAATATGATGTGAAAAATGAATACAAAAGATTTTATAAATGATAAATAAAGGATTCTGATTGGTTTCGATCTAGTGCAAAAATTGGAATAACCAGAACTGGAATTGATGCATCTCTGGTTGTGATAATTATAAAAAGAACTTTTAGAAATTCATTCTAAATATAGTTTAGATTTATACAGCATCTGTTCTAATCATTCGAAACTATTGGAATTTTGTTGAAGATATTTCATTTCGTTTATGTCATTGGAATTTCCAATGAAAATACTAAACGCTATTTTTAGAAAAATGTCATTTGATTTATTTGTGTGATTTAACAACTTTCTACTGGATAATGTAGTAGCATTACAAAAAAAGTACATATAAATTCCAAAATAATTTTTATTTTCGTTTACCCGATGAATAATATATGAAAAAAAAAGTTTTGTACTCAGTAATAATGATAACTCGAAAACATTGACATGAATAATCATGATTGCTAAAAGACGCTGACATGAATAATCGAAAGAAACGAAACAAATGTTGGTTGGAAATTCCATGTCAAAATAGATTCTACCGTTGAGGCGTATCTATCGAGGCATATAAAAAGCTTCGTTTTTTCGATATTATTTCATTTGTTTTACTATTTGGCAAGAAAAACATTAGTTAAAAAGTAAGTTTTTTTTTATTTTTGTCCGTTCAACTATTTATTATTTTTTTTGGAATGTGAGGAAGATATATTTGTATTAATTCTTTATTTTGTCCCTGGAAAAATATTATATTTTCATTCTTTTTTTTATTAATATATACTAGTATACTACGTAAAATAATTACTAACAGGGCAATAACAGATATTTATATAAATTTTTATGACAAAAAATATTAAATTCATAAAAATTCTATAATTGTTTTAGTTACTAATGAAAAATTGATAAATTTTCTCATATGTATTTATATATCTGACCACTGTAACTTCGCTAAAATATTCACACTAAAAATTAATTTGATGACTACTATTAGCAAAAAGTTATAAAATTTTGTTATTTTACAACAAACATTAGGATATATTTCTTTTATATCTTATATATATTACATAATTCTATCAGTATTTCTTATACAACGAAACTTTTCCTTTTCCATCTTTTACTAGTAGAATTCAATTATTTTATTTCTAGGTTCAATAACACAATGGTCGGATTTGATGCAAAAAATAAAACTAATTTGGATTCAAAATATAAATGTTCAGACTGCTCATTGATTTTACGGGATCCTGTTCAACTCACAATATGTGGACATCGACTATGTCAATTTTGTTTTGTCAACCAAAATCAGTAAGTTTTATCATTTATACTATTTTACATACATTATAATCTTATCTTTCAAAGAACTCTTATTACTTGCTCTCAGTGTCAAATGCAAACACCATCAGATCAAGTAA